TATATATTTTAATTGTGTTATAACAAAGCTATTTTCGAGACAAATGATTTAATCAATTCTTATCTTACATTATATATATGATCCAAATAAGTTGAGATTCTCATGAAGCGACGACACTTTTCTAGTTTTGAAAAAATGAAATCTTTTAATAAAAATATATAGTGTATCGTTTTAAAAAATCTGCAAAGATTTAAATAAAAAAAATAATGTTGCATTATCTGAGAGAAAAATATTATTATTTTGGGAAAAAAATAACATCATTGTTATCAAGATAATGTCAAAAGGAAGGTAATGAAAGACCACCACCGGTCCACCACTGATTTAAAATTGCTCTTTTTGGTAGTTAAATTAAAGTCCTAAAGACCATGAGTGGCATAGGATCATTAATTGTAACTCATAAATATAATATAACGGTGCTAATATTTGAAATTAAAAATGAAATTATAAACATTGCTAATATTTAAAAGTATATTTTTTTTCATCTAACGGATGGAGAAACTCCAAAGGTCGAGAAAGTATACATTTATTTGATTATAAGATTAGTATAAAAGTATTACTCAATTAATTGGATAATATTTGTCTTATTCATCTGTAATTATTTTAAAAAAATTGATATGTAATATGATTTATACAATTATATTATTATTAAAATAAATATGGGAAAAAAGGGAAATAATTTTAAAACGCATAAAGTTCTGAAAAAAGAAATTTAGAATCAAAATGTTGTTTTAAATTACCTAATTTACAAACGTGAGGAATAGTGGTAGCAAAAGATGTATAATATAACGGTGCTAATATTTGAAATTAAAGATGAAATTATAAACATTCTTAATATTTAAAAGTATATTTTTTTTCATCTAACGGATGGAGAAACTCCAAAGGTCGAGAAAGTATACATTTATTTGATTATAAGATTAGTATAAAAGTATTACTCAATTAATTGGATAATATTTGTCTTATTCATCTGTAATTATTTTAAAAAAATTGATATGTAATATGATTTATACAATTATATTATTATTAAAATAAATATGGGAAAAAAGGGAAATAATTTTAAAACGCATAAAGTTCTGAAAAAAGAAATTTAGAATCAAAATGTTGTTTTAAATTACCTAATTTACAAACGTGAGGAATAGTGGTAGCAAAAGATGTGTTAAGTGTGGCTGCTGGGATTCGAGCCCAGGTCTCCACGGCCACAACGTGGAATTCTTACCACTAAACTACAGCCACAAGGTTCGACACAATTTGCAAATATTTTTAGATAAGTATATAGATGCATGGACGTATAAGTCTAGCATGAATTAATTATTAATTAAATAAACAAATGGCATATAACTATGGTATTTAGGCTTCCCATAAAAATTTTCAAGAAAACAATAATCTAAAAGAAATATATTTTTTTTTACAACCTTTCAAACCTCCACAATATTGTCAAGCACTTTGTGCTTAGATGACATGTAATGACCTCTCCCATATGGGAGGTCATCAAGCCTCAGTGGAGGTGTTGTTGGCTCTTTGTGTTTCAATAGGTTGAGAAAGTATGTTTTGTTGACTCTTTGTGCTTCAATAGGTTGAGAAAATATGTTTGAACAGATACTACAATGTAATATAGTCAGTAACATTCATAAAAAAAAAAAAACCTCAGAGATAGTGACGTAAGAAACTGGGTTGTAGTTTTCGATCGTAAAAGCCATAGCCGTTATTTTCAGTTTCCTCATGAAATTGGGTTGTTGTTCTTGCGGGATTAATATTGTTTGGACCTTGTTATTAGTGACGTTGTTATTGTTGTTGTTGTTGCTGGGCAATTTGTTGAAGTACTCGATGTCTCTTGCACAGAGATAGAATGTGGATAGAAGGAAGAAGGGGATGAAAATCGAGAAATAGGTGGCGATGGAAGCCATGGATCGAAGAGAGAGATAGAGATCGAAACAATAATACAAATATATAATATAATGTTTGGTTGAATTATAATATGGGAGGCTGAAGCTTTAATTTGTTTATATAGAGAGGTATTGAACTTTATTAGGAAGTATTTGTTCTCCTTTGATATTTAATACCAACAATTTGTGCCAACTTTTGGTGACATTATATTGAAAATAATATATATATATATATATAGATAGATTTTGGATCCGGTGAGGTTACCTTTGTCAGGCGAGGTGGTGAGGCTTGATCTGGTGCGTTTATTTGGGCTTTTGGATGGATAGATTTGGTTGAATATAATGCCAATAGTTATGTTGTGCGACCGAATGTACCATGCGCATGGTGCATACGATGCAAAACGACGTCGTTTTGACTAAAAACGCGCGTCCCACTTTAAAAAAAAAATTCAGGTTCGATTCTCGGGAATAGCATTATTGTGGATATATAGTTATGAATTTCTAGATATATAGTTATAAATTTGTGGATATATAGTTATGAATTTATGGATATTTAGTTCATTCATTGTGGATATTTAGTTCATTCATTGTAGATATTTACTTCATTCATTCACTGTGGATATATAGTTATGAATTTATAGATATATAGTTATGAATTTCTGGATATATAGTTATGAATTTATGGATATTTAGTTCAATCATTGTGGATATTTAGTTCAATCATTGTGGATATTTAGTTCATTCATTGTGGATATTTAGTTCATTCATTGTGGATTTTTACTTCATTCATTCATTCATTGTGAATTTTTACTTCCTTCATTCACTGTGGATATATAGTTATGAATTTGTGGATATATAGTTATGAATTTCTGGACATATAAAAATGCTATTGCCGAGAATCGAACCTGATTTCTTCTTTAAGTGGGACGCGCGTTTTTTTAACCAAAATGGCGCCGTTTTGCAATCGTATGTACCTTGCAAGGTGCATTCGGTTGCACAACATAATTTGCGATATAATGCCTTGTGCGTGTGATTTATTTGCATGTGGGGGTGTTGTTGTCTTTTTGGTAGTGTCTTAATTAAGGTGTAATAATTAATTAGCAGATTTTATGGGCTTGTGCACTACTTAATTATGGTATTGTATCGGGTGTGTGCAATTTGTTTTCCCGTGTGTGCATTTGACTTCAATTCTTTGTTATGCTGTGTGTGCAATTTGTTTTCCTGTGTGTGCGTTTGGCTTAAATTCTTTGTTATGACGGGTATGATCAATCAGCGGTATGGTTGTGGTTTTTGTTGCATGTTGATTCCGTTATTCAATTTAAAAATTAATGAACAGAAGTTTGCGTTGTGTTATGAAGTTTTTCTGTGTGCATTTTATGTGTTCGGCTTGTGCGTTGGGTCACAAATAGGTTGACAAGTTTTCAGGCCAAATATCTCTTATTTGGACTGTCAACTAGAATTGAGGCAAACTTTTACCATATTTTTATAGCTTGGTTTTTGTTTTTTTACGTAAAGCAATTTTGGTATGTGTATTTTAATTGTAACATGTTATGATCTATTAACGGTTGGTGTGTTGTTATTTTATATATTTATTTGGTGCTTTTTGTTGTTATGGTCTGTGCGATTGGGATTTACAAGGGGTGTGTGTGTGTGTTTTTTTTTTTTTTTTTTTTTTTTTTTTTTTTTGGGTTTAAAATTTACATTGGATTCTAGTAGGTCTGACGTTTGTTCGGTTTAGTTTTTGGGCTTGTGCGTTGGGTTTCTTAACCCAACGCACCGACTTAACTAAATGGCTGCACAGACAGAACATAACCCATAACACACTTCTATTAAGGTTTCACATACCTCTTTCCGGTTGCACCTTCGTTGTTGAGGAGATATCCCACCGCAAAACACTATTGCTGAGTACAAATGTTTAAATACAACTCACACTCTATCAACAATAATTTATAACCGTAAATATATTATTCAACACCATAATTAGTTGATCCTTAGCATGGAATATATTCCAATCTATTCATAACCATATATAGCTCTAATATTACAATTACTTATACACCCTTATACATAGACTACTACCATAGATGGAAAATAAATCTCTTTCAATCTCACCATTTGATATGTTATGATTTAATGGATGAGATGGGGCTCCATTATCTCACCCATCTAAGTGACCTCATATGATCCGAAACCTATATATATATATATATATATACCACAATTACATAGATGGATCGGAGTATTTAAACTATATATTTTAATATATATATATATATATATATATATATATATATATATATATATATATATTAAAATATATAGTTTAAATACTCCGATCCGTAATATTTTCTTGTGGGAAATAGGCAGTCCATCTATGTAATTGTGGTTCATTGTAATTAATATGTAGAATTCTTTTCTTTTTTTTTTTTTTTTATAGAAAAATATTTAGAATTTTAGTAACGTGATGTTATAAGATTTCACAACCCTTATACCATGGAGGTAGACCACTAATATACATATTTATTTTTAATATAAAAGAATTATTTTTATTGTATTACTACGTACATGTCATTTTAATAAGTTCATTATATTTAAGATATGTCATTTTTAGTAAGTTCAATATATATATATATATATATATATATATATATATATATATATATATATATATATATATATATAGTGTATTACCTAAAAATGAGCCTATAATGCATTAAAATGAATATGTAGTATATTAAAATGAACATATATAAGTGATTCTCCTGGTATAATTTGTTGAATTTATGTTTGTACGGGCTTAACTTTCTAGTTCAGTAGACAGTATTTGAGAGAAGAAACCAAGATTTAAACCTCAGCAGTAACGGTGTGGGAATTATGCCTAGCTAAAATGGACAAATTTTTTGTGCACACCGATATTTAGTCTTATTTACTGATTTTGCACACCAATATTTAGTCTTATTTGCTGAGTCATTGAGTCACCGTAATTTATAACTTTTTGCGACAAATAATTTGTTGGATTTGGGATTTTGAGCCTTAGCTTTGTGAAATGCACTTCTGGTGGCCCAATGGTCGAATATATTCACTTATTCAGTATACAGGCCCATTAGATATAGAGAGAAATAGAGAATAGAAGAAGATATAGAAAGATAAGGCATGATTGAATATGAACCAACTAAAACCTACCCAAGATACACAGTTACACATTGCAGTGCTCAGAGGAAACCAAGAAACATGAAAACTTTGAGGATTCAATTCCATTTAAAACACCCAAATTTCAAGTCCCCATCTTCAAATCATGCATTTCTCATCCAAACCAAACCCAAATCACACCTAAAACACCCAAAGAAGGAGGAGCCTTCCTTTTCTGCAACCCAAAATGTCACTGATTTGCCCAGTGCCAAGACTCCACTTCTTCAAACCATTAATACCTCATTCAAGAAAACCCATCTTCAAATCATCCCCAAATCCCAGAAACTTTCAAGAAATGGGTTTTCTTTATCTGAAACAGGGTCAAATGATGAGAAGAATTCAAGAATTTTGATACTGGGAGCTGTGTCAATAGGAGTTGTGATGTTTCTTATGGGTGTTGGGGATGAAAAGGCACTTGCTTTAGGCCCTCGAGGTCCATTAATGGAGGACTTTTGGGACAACATGAGGAGATATGCAATTTATGCACTGACAGTGAGTACAGGTGTTCTCTACGCTGTTTTCCAGCCAATCTATGAGCTGTTGAAGAACCCCATTTCTGCAGTTCTCGTAGTCACTATCATTGCAGGCAGCATTTTCATTGTTTCTCAGGTCCTTTCTGCCATGGTTGGTGTCTCTGACTTCTCCTATGAGTATAGCTACTAGTGGTTGTGTTCAAGCCAAGAACAAGAAATCTTTTTATTTCCTATATTGTCTGGGATTTGGGCTTTTGCTTAGACAAATGTTGCATATTCTACAAAATCTTCAATTTTTCTCTTTGATAAATTGGTGATAGCTTCTTGCTACTACCAGTACTACATAATCATTGTTGTATTATTATGTGTCTTTTTTAATTGTAAGAGAATTTTGTCATCTAAACTCCATTTTTTCAAAATTTGCTGGTGATCATTTATTATCTTGAACATAAAGTGGTATTATCCCTAGAACATATCTTTGTTTTTTAGGCACTAAAAATATGTACCATAATAGCTTGCCTAAAGAGGCGTTTTATGCATTGAGAGTTGAGACATTTGTATAAAATGCCTCCTCTATCAAGCATTGGATTGGCCTAATATTAGTATTGGCTACAAGAATATGTTTATCAAAGAAAAATGATAGATTATAAATAAGAATGTGAATCGCTCCAGTCCTTTCGGTTCGGGCAAGCCTTGTCATGTAATTGAAGTTCTGTTTGTCAAATCTAGCTGAAAAGTTATAAGTTAGTAGCTGAAAGCTGAAAAGTAGCTAAAAGCTGAAAAGCTGTAAGTTAGGAGTTGAAAACTGAAGAGCTGTTAAGATTGAAAGTATTTGGTAAAATTAGCTTTTTGATAAACTGATAAATGTAAAAAGACTAAAAATGACATCTTCATAAAATTTAACATTTCGTCTTCCAAAAAAAAAACATTTTTAAAAATAAAACTATTAGCATAATCATGATCTAGCATCCCATAATGAAGTAAAAATATTGTTGCGAATCTCCTTCATCTCCATAGAGGTTTGACTTAAATTTTCGTTGATGGAGATATTACTACTTGAATCTTGAAGTTCATCGGGCGGTATGTAATCTGGATGCTGCTCAAACACATTAAACATCAGCTTGTGAATTTTTTCGAATATAATTATGTAGTGCAAATGTGGCCATAATAACATCAATTTGGGTCTCCACACTAAACTGCGGCATTTTAGCAAGTATTCCATCTCTTCTTCAATACTCCAAACGACCTCTCAATACAACTTCGAAGAGAAGAATGTGCACGATTGAATGCTTCTTGAGCATTAGTTGGCGGCTCTTGTTCAAATTGAGATTGATGATGCCTTATTCTTGGAGTGCGATGGATGATGCTTTTGCAGAGTGCGATGGCTGATGGACGATGCTTCTGCGGAATGCGAATGGGGGATGGACGAGGCTTCTGCTGAATGCGAATGAAGATGAAGGGATTGACGTGAAAGTTGCGAATAGGGGAAGAGAAAGGGTTTTAATTCATAAAAGTTAAAAGATGTCATTACTTTAAAATAATAAGGATAAAGATGAAAAAAAAAAGTTAGGAAGCTACTAGCTTATTTTGAAATGTTACTTAAAGGTAGCATTCCAAAATAAGCTATTATTTTAATCTACGAGCTTATTTTAGGAACATTACCAAACAAAGCTTATAGCTATTAGTAGCTTAAAATAAGCTATAAGCTACGCCAACAGAGTCTGAGTGAAAATTTTGACATTTTAAAATTAACATTCTCAGCTTTCAATTTTAATCAGGGAAAATTGAAATTTATGTCTAAAAAATATGCCAATTATCAATGTCACCCCTGAATTATTAGTAGTGTAAATGTTGTCCCTCAATTTTCAAAACGTAACATATATTGTCCCTCCCATAATAGGAAGAAGGAGTAACGTTGTTGTCGGCGGAAGGAGAATGAACGAAGAAAGAAAAATGGTGAAAAAAATGTGGTCTGATCTTCGAACAAGGAAGGCGGCATATAACCACATTTACACCACTAATATATGTCACGTTTTGAAAATTAAAGGCCAGCATTTACACCACTAATAATTCATGGGTGACATTGATAATTGGCATATTTGTGAGGGGCATATATTCAATGCTGGATTTTGGGGTGTGCAAAGTGCCCAATAGCATATGACTTCAATTTTTAGAGAGCACAATATTTATTTTTGACCTATCAACTTAAGAAATTAAAAAAATTCTGCACAATTAATCTTGAAACTCGTGTTTTTTCTCCAAATCACTTCCCTCCCCTAATAATTAGAACCTAATTAATTGAGCATGTTGCATGGCAAAACTGTTCTGTTTCTCCAATAGCACGGACCATGGTCCACTATAATTTGCCAGCGGCAATTGTTATACCAAGGGCTAGTGATAGGGTTATAGGGCAACTCATTTGCCCTACGGAGCTCACTAGTGTATTTTTCTGACCTCACTAACATAGTTATCATCGCAGGCGACGCCTTGGCGTCCTGTCGGTGGAGACAGGACGCCTAGAGGCCACGCCTCGCCTGAAAATAGTGAGGCGAGGTCCGGTGTTACCAAGGCGTCCCAGGTGACGTCGACACGGCATCTAAACCCCGAATACGAGACCCATTATTTATTTATTTATTTTTTTAAAAATGGTATGCCTAAAACCTAATAAGAATAGAGAAGAGAGAAAAACACATTTCAGATCTGCGTCCAGCTCTAGCGTCGACTTCCCCCGAACTCACAGAGAAGAAGAAACCCATCACCCTCCCACCGGTGTCGCCGTCCCACTATCGTGACTTGTGGATCTTCGTCGGCTTTCTTGCTTCTCCATTTTCTTTGGTATTGAGAGTTTCTTTTTGGTTTATATTAGCAGAGGGGGCTGGGCAGTGGGAGCAGTGGGCAGAGGCAGTGCTCATTGCCAACCACTTGTGTGTGTGTGTATATATATATATATATATATATATATATATATATATATATATATATATGTATGTATTAGGGAACCAACATGGTTGGCATGGTGATTCAGCACCTCGTCCCTTAAGCATGAGGTTGGGGGTTCGATCCTCACCTATATGAATGGTGCAAACCATTTGGCCAGTCCCCTACTACTTAGTGACCGTTGGGACGGAGCATGGGATTGTAATTTAATTATGTTGTTTGAATTTAATTATAAATGAAATAGAATCTTTTCTAAGGAAACCTATCAATAGTAAGAAATAATTCTAGTTTTTAATACTAAGATTTTTAAAAAATTCCGTGCGTGAAGAATCATAATCAAAGTTAGCCATCCAGAGTTCGCACATGGCAGAAGACGTCGTTGGTATTTTAATTTTGTATGTGGTGCGTAGGTGTGTGCGTTTGTGACCGTTGGCATGTGCAAAAGTCTGAGTTTATTATTTTCTTGAATGTGGTACTTTGATGGGCGTGTGCGCTCGATCTTGCTGGTTTGTGCAAATGTGTTTCGTGTGTTCTAGGTTTACAATGGGGGGTTGGGTCATAATTAATTGCAGTGGGCGCACGGATGTTCATTCTAGTAGACGAAAATAGTTGACCACAAAAGCACGATCATATGTGGTTTTTGTTATACAGCTTGTGCATTTGGCCGGAGTAGTGTGTCGCACGGATGTTCAACCACGCACATGCACACGCACATGCAGGCAATTCCCAGACTGTCGCACCAGCCCAATTTCACTTACACACCGACCAACACATCACAAACATATAAAAAGAAAATCACAGAACAAAACATCCCCAAATACTTCGTTGCCTCCTCAGACTTTTGCATACGCCCAAATACACGAATGCACCAATCATTTCATCACAAGCAAATAAAATAGATCAGTGTAAAACAAAACATTCCCTAACCCTTCATGGCCTACCCAGCAAATGCACACACTACTCCGGTCAAATGCACACGCTGTGTAACAAAAACCACATATGGTAGTGCTTTTGTGGTCGACTATTTCCGTCTACTTGAATGAATATCAGTGCGCCCATTGCAATTAATTATGACCCAATCCCCATTGTGCACCTAGAACATACGAAACACATTTGTACAAACCACTAAGACCAGCCGCACACGCTCATCAAAGTACCACATTCAAGAAAATAATAAACTCAGACTTTTGCACACGCCAACGGTCACAAACGCACACACCTACTTACCATATAAAAAATTAAAATACTGAACGAACTTACGAGCGGAATCTTCTGCCATGTGCAAACTTTGGATGACTGACTTTGATTGTGGTTCTTCACACACATAATTTTTTTAAAATCTTAGTACTAAAAACTAGAATTATTTCTTACCATGGATATGTTTCCTTAAAATATGGAAAAGATTCTATTTCATCTCTAATCAAATTCAAACAATATAATTAAATTACAATCCCACCCTTTTGTATTGATTTTTTCCTAATATAATTTCTATGTTAATCTCAATCCTATCCATTAATTCCAAATGTATAGATGGTTGAGATGAGATCTCACGATCTCATCTTGTTAATCTCAATCCTATCCATTAATTCCAAATGTATAGATGGTTGAGATGAGATCTCACGATCTCATCTAATTAGGGTGGTCTCACTAGATCCAAATCCTATATATGTATAGTATTTTTTTAACTTGTTGCCTAGACGAGCGCCTAGTCGCCTAGGCAAAAAGGTGGTCAGGGGGCACCGCGACTTAACAGGGCGCCATGATAACTATGCTCACTAATGCACTTTTCGACCTCAGTAGTGCATTTCCCGACATCACTAGTACATTTCCCAACTTCACTAGTACATTTTCTGAGCACACTAGTGCATTTCCCGACCTTGAGAGGGCACGCATGACTACTTCCCGATCTCATTATTAATAGACCTTCCGGTCTCATTACTCGTAGACCTCTCAGTCTCATTACCAAATGAACTTACCAGTCGCCTTGCATGTAGACTTCCCAACCGGACTACCAATAGACTCCCCGACCGCGTCCGACCGAACCACCGATCGGGATATGAACATCAAGACGAATCCAACCAAATCCGATCACGTGTCAAAACTCTAAGGATACTTGGCAAGTGTAACCTCACCACCGTATCTAGCTAGGACACGTGGAGTACATGCCGAGAACCCGACATGTGTCCCCTCCTCCCTCTATATATAGGACATTTATTGCACTTTGGGGGGACTTTTGGCTCCCAACTTAGACCACTCCACTTGGAGCCTCCTGATCTTACGTGGTCGGCTCTCAATAAATTTTCCGGTCACACCAACCACTTCTATTAAACTTTTCAACCATATTATTTCACCTATAATAGAGTTTCCGGTCACATTTATCCGACCCGAAACAATTTACTCTATCAACTAGGGTCCACATTACATTGTGGACATTAATTCAAAAATTATGTGTTTGCAATTAACATATTACGAAGTATGTGTCTATAGTTAATTAATTATGGAGTTAATACCCAAAATCATCTTCGACTATAGTGGTTTTTCTCAATTTTGTCCTAAACGACTTTGGTGACTTAATGTAGTCCCAGAGTTTTGTGTTTTTACTCAATTTTGTTCCAGACTTTTGTGTTTTTGCTCAATTTAGTCCCCCATTTGTTATTCCGTCCATTTGTTGTTGAATAAATAGACAATTCAATAATTTTAATATTGGCATCTCTTTATTCATAGACATGTGAAGTGCGAAATTCTTCTTTTTTTACGAATTACTTCTAGAATCACTTCTAAAGCTGCGAATATAAAATTTGATTCGTAGGTCTGAGAGTAACTCTGGGTGTAATTCGTGTAAGAAAGAGAGATTTCTCACTTCGCAAGTTGAAAGTAAAGAGAGGTCAATAGTGATATTATTGAATTGTCCCTTTATTTAACACCAATTTGACGGAATAACAAACGGATGACTAAATTGAGCGAAACACAAAAGTTTGGGACTATATTAGGTCACCAAAGTCATTTAGGACGAAATTGAGAAAAACCATTATAGTCGAGGATAATTTTGGGTATTAACTCATTAATTATGTGTTTATAAATAAATTGAATGTACATAATTTGTTAACTATAGGCACGTAATATATTAATGGCATGTTATATGTCTGTAGTTAGCATATTATGTACCGATAGTTAACCTATTATATGCATTCAATTTATTTATATATACATAATATGTTAACTACAACACAATTTGAATATCATTTTTGACCAGGATTTACAATGTTAGATGGACCTGATCTATAGTAAATTTGTCATTATTCGCCTCCCTAATACCATTACCACAACAGTAATAAACAAATAATTTTATTTAAAATAATTATAATTATTAAAAATTTATTACATTTTGCAAGGACTTGTTTAATGCAACATTTCTGTTTTATGACACTCAAATATATTTTATTTTTAATAAGAAAAAATATTTAATGCATCGTCGATGTGTTGTCCACATTACATCGGAGGTTTCTTGTCTTTGGTGGCAATTTCAAATTTAGTTACACACTATCGTTTTTGTCATTTTACATCCCAGACTATTATTTTTTGGACACTTTTAGTCCATTCATGAGTTTTTCTATTTTTAGTAAGGGCATGTTTGTTTCTTTATATTTTTCATTTGTTATTTTTCCGGTTTCAACCAGTTTAATTGGTTTAGAACTTTAGGTAACCTCTGATTTTTAGTAACCATATTTTCCAGTCAATTTTTAGTAAAGTCCTAAACTAATTAAATTGGTTGAAACCGGAAAAATAATAAAAGAAAAATATGAAGAGACAAAAATGCCCTTATTAAAAATAGAAAAAATCATGAGAATAACTAAAAGTGTCCAAAAAACGATAGCCTGGGATGTAAAATGACAAAAACGATAGTCTGCGACTAAATTTGAAATTGTCACTAAAGACAAGGGACCTCCGGTAGAATTAACTCTTCAAAAAAATTATAATATTAATTAAGGTTTTATTTTATAAAATATAATACTTTCTAGATTAAAATATTTTTTCATAAATAAATTTGCAACAGTATTATAAATTTGAATGGGGTAATTCAATAGTCGCTCGCAACAATCTAAAAATATAATAAGTCTTAATTAAGGTTATATCTTCCTTGATTTATGTCCCTATTTTTGTATGTAAATAAATGTGTACATTTTACTTTAAATGTGGTACATTTCAATGTTATTAGACAAAATTATCCTTAAACCGTTATAACACCATTAGTTTTTAATTCTAATATTGATAACACATCATTATTACCATACACATATACCTATCATATCTTTTTTCTATTTTTAATTATCATTTTATTAAAATCATTATATAATTAATTTAATGCTTAATTATATTTTAATTAAATTTTCATGAATATTATATATGTGTGTACAAAATACATATATTATTTGTGTATATATAATATAAATTATAATTTTTAATTATTTTTATTTATCAATATTTTAATATTAAGCATGAATTTTCGCGTGCTTACATAATATTATTATAAATTTGAATTTGATAATTCAATAGTCGCAGTCTCGCAGAATGGAATTAAAACTATTTAATATATAATCCATAGTCCAAAGCTCTGTGCCTGATAAGGCAGTATAGTATAGATTGTGGTTTCTAAAATCTTTTGACCTCCATAGCCTATAGCTCTGAGAATCCAAGTTTCAGAGTGTAAAACAGAAGAGAAATGGCATACAACATAGGCTCTGCCTCTCTCTCCCAAGATCCCCAGCTCTTCTGCAACTCTCTCCATCCTGCCCACTTTCTCCAACTCTCTCCCAAACCCAAACCCTGCACTCTCTCCTTCAGAATCCGCAGGGCCCCTTCCCTCCAGATCTCCCAAGTCTCCGTGCAAGAACCGACTCAGACTTCAAAAAGAACTTCAAATTCTCAGCACCCAGACGAAAAGACTAAATCTTCGTCAAAAATCAACGTCTGGATCAATCCCAATAGCCCCAGAGCTTCTAAGCTAAGACAGATTAGTAATGATTTCAAGTACTCTTCTCTGGTGCGTATTTCGCAATCTTTGGATTCTTGCAGCGCAAATGAAGGAGAAGTGTCGAGCGTGCTGTCTGCTTTGGGGGATAAAGCAGTAGAACAAGACGCTGTGGTTATTCTTAACAATATGTCGAACCCTGATACAGCGCTTCTGGCACTCAATTACTTCCTGCGGACGATGAAATTGAGAAAGGAAGTGATTCTGTATAATGTGACTTTGAAAGTGTTGAAGAAGAATAAAGATTTGAGTCGTGCGGAGAAACTGTTTGATGAAATGCTTGAGAGAGGAGTTAAGCCAGATAATATTACGTTCTCAACCATTATTAGCTGCGCTAGGCTCAGTTCTCTGCCTGAAAAAGGTGTGGAGTGGTTCGACAAGATGCCTACGTTTGGGTGTAAACCGGATATTGTTACTTACTCGGCCATGATTGATTGTTATGGAAGGTCAGGGAATGTGGATAAGGCGTTGAGCTTGTACGACCGTGCAAGGGCAGAGAAATGGCGTATTGATGTCGTAACGTTCTCCACATTGATGAGGATTTATGGTGCTTCTGGCAATTTTGATGGGTGCTTGAATGTGTATGAGGAAATGAAGGCACTTGGTACCAAGCCTAATTTGCTTGTGTATAACAATTTGTTGGATGCCATGGGAAGAGCTAGGAGGCCATGGCAGGCTAAGAACATCTACTTGGAAATGGTACAAAATGGGTTCCAACCAAATTCGTCTACCTATGCTGCACTGATTCAGGCATATGGCAAGGCTCGATATGGTGAAGATTGTATAAATGTGTATAGAGAAATGAAGGGGAAAGGAATGGAATTGAATACTGTTTTGTATAATACCCTGCTTGCGACGTGTGCTGATCTGGGAGTGACAGATGAGGCAATTGAAATTTACAAGGATATGAAGAGTTCAGAAATGTGCAAGCCTGACCATTGGACATATTCTTCTTTGATCAAAATATATTCTTGCAGTGGGAAGGTCTTAGAGGCTGAAGCCGTATTGGATGAAATGGCAGAAGTAGGGTTAGAGCCCGATATTTTTGTCCTAACCTCACTACTTCAATGTTATGGGAAGGCTAATCGGTTAGATGATGTCGTGAGGACATTTGATCGGCTGTCAGGCTTAGGTTTGAGCCCCGATGAGCGATTTTGCAGTTGTCTTCTCAACGTGCTGGTCCAGATACCCAAGGAAGAAATGTATAAATTGTCCGATTGCATTGAGAAGGCCAACCCAAAGCTCGGTTACATTGTGAAACTCCTGATGGATGAAGAGAATGCTGAAGGTGAGGTTTTAAAGAGGGAAGCTGAAGAACTCTTTAATTCTATTGGTACTGTTTTCAGAAAAGCTTATTGCAGCAGCTTTATTGATATCTGTGTGAACCTTAATCAAATCAAAAAAGCTTGCGAGTTGTTAGACCTTGGAATAGCGCTTGATATCTACACTAATATACAATCCAAAGAACCTACTCGGTGGTCGTTGCATCTGAAGAGCCTGTCCTTTGGGACAGCACTGACCGCATTTCACGTCTGGATGAATGACTTGAACGAAACGGTTGAAAATGGCGAGGAGCTTCCACCGGTGCTTGGGATCAACACGGGACATGTCAAACACAAATATTCTAAGAAAGGTTTGAAAGGTGTATTCGAGTCGCATCTAAAGGAACTAAATGCTCCATTTCATGAGGCACCACACCTGCCTGGCTGGTTTTTGACAACAAATATTGCAGCAATGTTGTGGTTGAAATCTAGAGATTCTGACCAGGCTGTTCCTGCTAAGGAGTTGGTTCTTAATAGACCTTAACATTTGGCTTATATTCTTCTTCTTTAAATTATATGCATAGAGTAAACTTTGCCGAATCTTATTTGCTCTCGGGATGCATTCTATTATGACTATATGATATGTACTTCTGACTTCTGAGATGAGCAATGAAGGTATAAAAACAGGCTGATATTCAACTCCTGATTATTATAATTTTGAATTTGACAACCATTTCTATATTTTTTAAGTTCACTTAAAGATGGACTGCATGTCTCTTCGGGCTGATATACACACACACACACACCTAGTTTCAGCTCCCAGCATCTATGCAACCATGGGAAACTGCATTTACACAGTACTCTTTATCTTTATCTCAGAAGAGAGAAAAGAGTTCCAACCATGGAAGGTGAAGATCTTGAAGTCTGGACAAGTGTGGAGGAGATGAGATGCGGGCGCCATAGCCTGCATTGCTGCTGGGAAACCAGGTGAGATGCAGAAGTGTGATATGCCAATTAGATCTCATAAAGTGTACAAGAAAAATGGTAGTTGTAATGGCCAAAGAGTGAAGATGTTATTGAGTAATTATAAGCAGCAGTTAGATCTTATCATTACTGATGTGAATAAGCTCCAATCCAGATGGATTGCTATTCGCTCTCTTAGTTTAAAGTAGAGACCATTGCTGGGTACTATCCTAGAGTTGTAGAACTGTTTAAGAAGGAAGCTAAAATAATATCTATTTTTTATTCTAGTCTAGATTTATATGTGTCATTCTACTTTTACTTTATTTATTTATTATTTATTTATTTATTATTATTTTTTTAAGAACATTCCCGGTTGGTCTTAGTATATTTAAATAAAGTTAAATACGATGACATTTCGGTCTTTTTATACAAAGTGGGTTGACCCACTATATATTTATTTGTATTTTTTGATAAAAAATTCTTAATTCACAACTAGAGTCCTCTATCCAAAAAGTTCTTAATTCACGGTTAGAGTCCTTTGTTCAAAAAATTCTTAAAAAAATATATTAAAAAAGAAAAAAAGAAACAGCCATATCTGAGGGGTGGTTGTCTTCTTTGCAAAGACGACCATGACCGTCTTCAAGATTTCCATATTTGGGTGAAGACAACCACAAATCCACGATCGTCTTCAAGATTTCTAAATTTGGGAGAAGACTGCCACGACCATCTTCAAGAATTTCAAATTTGGGCGAAGTCGTCTTTGCAAAGAAGACAACCACCAGTTGTCCTCACCGGTAGTTGTTGTTGTTGTTGTTTTTTTTTGTTTTTGTTTTTGTTTTTGTTTTGTTTTGTTTTGTTTTGTTTTTTTTTTTTTTTTTTTTTTTTTTAATTTTGTAATAAATAATTTTTAATTAAAAGGTTTTAATATTACTTCGGCTACTTTGGTCATATTAGTTCAATTACAAATACAAATCTTATTTTGACTATTTTGCTCATATTATTACAATGGCAGGTTACAAATATTATTACAAATCATATTTCAACTGCTGTAGTCATATTATTACAATTGCAAGTGTTTTTTTTTTTTTTTTTTTTTTTTTTTGTTTTTTAAGGGAAGGGGGATACCCACATATACAAGCTATTACATCAAATGCCATCATAATCGCCTCCATCGAGGCTCGAACCCACCACCTCTCACATAGGGGAGTAACTTGGTACCAATTTGGATAATAATGGTGACATTGATGTTTTGTAGTGGTAGAAAGATCATGATTTTTTTTTTCCTATATTATCTATTATTGAAAAATAAATTTTTGGAACGCTTGCTTCTACTGTGGTAGTAGAAAAGGAATTTAGTGCTGGTGCAAAGGTAAATTATGCCCTAGAAACGTGTTCACCATGAATGGTGAACACGGGTCCAAACGACGCCGTTTTTATGTAAAAAAATTAAATTTCGCTAATGTGGTGTTAACGGCGCGCGTTTGGTCAGATTATGAATTTTCTGTTGAATGTACTGTAAATTCATAATCTCATAACAGAAAATTCATAATCTCATAACAGAAAAATCATAATCTCATAACAGAAAATTCATAATCTATGAATGTTGAAGAAGTTTGCGCTACAGAGGAGCAGTCATGGTTTCGGACGGGAATGTGTAGGCACGGGTCCAAAGTGAATGTGCAGGCATGGATTCATAATTTATGAATGTCCGAAATCATTGCTCACCTCAAATTAAAGTGAAACCGCAAAATATGAAAATGAAGAAGAAAAGTCACGCGATTAATTAAGAAGAAAAAAAAAAGATAACGGTGCACTAACACCGTTGGGACCGTGTTCACCATGGATGGTGAACACGGTTCCATGGCATAACAATTGTGGTGCAAACATGTTGGCCGATACTCGTTCAAGAATGACGCCGCAATCAATCGAAGTTCAAGTTTGTACAGCCGATTAGGGATTGTCGAATGCGAACAAAATGACTCTTAAAAAAGCATGGTTGAAAAAATCGCTAGGCGCCAATCGGGCGCTCGGGGAGCGCCTATACGGGGCTTAATCGGCGCCTACGCGCCCGTGTATTTTTTATTTTTAAAAAATTTGTTTAATTTTTTAAGACTTGATAATTATAAACTATTTAATACTTTAATAGTTAATACAAAAATATTAAATATTAACCTAAAAAAATCATCTAGAGTTTGAACAATTTACTCATTTAAAAATGAATGGAACAATAGTTAATTGACCGACTAGGCAACATAGTCAGTGCCTAGACGACTTAGTCGGTGCCTAGGAGGCCTAGTCGGCGCCTATGAGGCCTAGGCGGTCGGTGCCTAGGCGGCCTAGACAGCACTTAGGCGGCCTACTCAGCCGCCTAGACGACCAATTATGGTAATACGCTAGGCGGCCGGCCAGCGCCTAGCGCCTAAGCGTCGATTAATCGGTGCTTAGGTGGGATTTTTGCAACATTGAAAAAAAAAAGACAACAAAAAAGAAGGTAAGAGAACTACGTGGGCTTTGATTTTTATTGAAATTTTGATAAGATATGTAGGCAACTTAATCTTGGTAAAATTAAGTGCAAGCCCAAATTATTTTATTTTATTTTTTTAGTTTAACATTAAAGTTTAAATATCTGACATAACCATTTTTTTTAAATATTCTAGATGAAAAAATTAATTGTTGAATTTGGATCATTTTAAAAATAGAACATATAATATTACCAAAAAAAGAAAAAGAAATTCCCAGTTTGAGCGGGGCGATTCAAACTAGTACCTTTATATAAGGTTCCGGTTCCGGTTTGGTCATTTTCGAAACCGGAACCATGGTCATGGCTACCTCTTGATATGACTCCATTTTCTTATAATGCACAAATGCAACCATAATTAGTACTTATTCTCAACTTTTAGCAAATTAAGCTATTTTAGGCACACAATAAGTTCAAAGAACCACAATTAAGGCATAAAATGCCTCCAAAACACCCCCTAAAATATATAACATTTGGCACTTTATCAAGAGGCATATGTAGTATCATTCCAGAGCCTGTGCATAAGTTTGATATGCCAATTAGATCTCATAAAGTGTCCAATTAAGAAAAATGGTAGTTGTAATGGTCAAAGAGTGAAGATGTTATTGAGTAAGCAGCAGTAGATCTTTTTATTACTAATGTGAATGAGCTCCAATCTCCAATCCAGATGGATTGCTATTCTCCCTCTTAGCTTAAAGTGGAGACGTTTGTTGGCTACCATCCCAGACTTATAGCACTGTTTAAGAAGAAAGCTAAAATAATATAAAAAGTGTAATTTTGCCATTGTTGAGGTTAAAAACACAGTGATTTTTTTTTTTTTTTTTTAAATTTTACGGTGTCTTAATTCATAGAAAAAATAATATTTTGAGGTCTACTATTCAAAGTGTCATCCTTGTAATCCTATACTATAATACTGAAAAAAAGTGGTCGAAAATCGCTGATTTCCAGTCAAAAGCCCTGTCTTCGACCACATTTCCAACCACTTGGAGCCTCTGGAAAATCCTACGTCGCTATTTCCGACCACTTCATACAGTGGTCGGAAATAGCGTCCATTGTTGTAAAATGATCGAAAAAATTTGTCGGGCAAAAAAGTGAGGTTTGTATATTTTCCGATCCCTGGTGGTCCGAAAATTATCTCCAAGAAGATTACAGAACTGGAAATCTGGGATAATTTTCCGACCACCAAAGAAAATAATGAAGTAAAATTAAAAATAAAATCATTTCGCTGCACTGTAAGATTGTATAATTATTAATCAACTAATTTGTGTGTAACATTACAATCTAAGAGATGCATGCTTTAGAGATTGCAACAATATAGTAACAAAAACAAGAAACCAAGTATAGGGAGAGCGGAGAGAAATCCTGGAAAACATCAAAACAACAATCAAGAATGCTGGCTAAGCCATGCAGTACGCCCAATCTTGCAATCTCATCCGACTCCCCTATCCCGGACAAGATGGACCGGACAAGTCTAAGCACTGCGCTTATCACCGGTGTGTCGGGCATGACACAGAAGAGTGTACCCACTTACGCCAGTTATTGGAAGATCTGCTCAACATTGGAAAGCTGGACAAGTGCGTAGGGAAGAGAGAAGAAACAAAGAGGGTTACCGATCGGAGAGATCACAGACGATCTCATCACCGCTCTGATCGCTCCGATCGCGCCGAACGTTCAGATCGGTCGGGTCAGGACCACAGAGATGACCTCCGAGATGACCGACGGGACCCTGACCCTCCATCCAGCAGCCGTCCGGCAGGCAAGCCGACCATCCACGTGATATTTGGTGGATTGGATGATGCTTCCCGACCGAGGGAGAATTGCCCGGTCGCGATCGTAGACTCCCGTGATACCGGGAAAAAAGGACAGAAGATGGAGCCCATAACCTTCTCTTTGGAGGACCAGCCCAACAGCGGTGACCACGGCATGGAAGCCCTCGTGGTCACTATTGACGTCAACGGGACAGATGTTAAGAGGGTTATGGTGGACACCGGGAGCAGTGTCAACGTCCTTTATTTGGACGTGTTTGAGAAGTTAAATCTGGACAAGAGAGAGCTGATTCCGGTCGGTGTACCATTGACTGGATTCACCGAGGCCCTTGTTCACCCTGAAGGAAAGATCGTGCTCCCGGTCGAGATCGGCACCCCGCCGAAATCAATCAAGACCGAGATGGAGTTTGTTGTGGTGAACTTGCATTGCGTCCACAACATCATCTTGGGCCGACCAGCAATAATGAAGATCGGTGGG